TTGGTTAATATTTACTGCCAGGTTAGTGACACTGAACCCATCATTAGAATTTTACACAGATGTACAAAAACATTGCCGGTGTTACACCGAATTCTGTAACCCTAGAGGCGCTGTTGCACATGTTCGCGAGGTTTCCGTCCACATGCACGAGCACTCTACGCATTTTATGCAACGCAATTTAACTGTATGTTCTCGCAAAATGTGTAGGAGGGTACGAGAGTGGGTATTTCTGAGCTCTGAAACACGTTGGCAGTGCTGTGTCTTATTTCCTCGTTTTTTCGCTTTGATTTTACTTCATATTATTTTATTTAGTTTTATTTCGTTTTGTTTTTATTTTTATTTTAAGTTATCTCCACTTTACAATGTCTGTAAGGGAAATATCAAAGACATAATTGCGAAAAACAACATGATAGTTCTGCTTCTCAGTTACATCATCTTGCTTTATGCTACTTAAATGCTGTCTTACATTCTGATACTTAAACAACTCTTAGCCAATCGGCTTATGCAGCCAATTTTGTGTTATTTTGTATTGTAGTGCACTACATTTACTGTCACAATTAAATATAGCATCGCCACTCGTGTCGAATAATGCGGGATCGTGTCATACTGGAGCTGGAATAAAATGCTCCTTACTGTATTATACTGGACCATGCCAGTACGGACGGGTGGCAAGCCAATTTTCAAGTGTCAGTAAATGTAAGAATGCTGGATATAATGAGACAACAGCTGTCTGAAGTGTATAAACTCGATGAACATGTCTTTTTAAAGACCCACTCAGCACATTGTTGCCTGAAGATGAACGGTACATTGTTGCTTGTTCAGTATCCACACTTGGGTCACAAACTCTGATGAAAGCGGCGTTAATTAGACACCCCTTTGCCAGAGCTGACCTGTACACCCCAGTTAGGAAATCTTTTCACTGCAGAGTCCCTGGTTTTTCCCTTGTGGCTTTGGGGTCACAAGATTTGGTGGCTGCTATCAAATATTATGACCCCTCTGCTGAAGGTGGATGGTGCAACCCAGTCAAGAAATCAAAGTCAGCTTTATTGTCAATTCTGCCACATGTACAGAACACACAGAGAATCGAAATTACGTTACTCTCAAACTAAGGCTGGACAATAATTCGATATCAATATATATCGCGATAGAATTTTTTTCAATAACGGTGATACGATTTTTAAACACATTTCCGATATTTCGATATACATTTGAATATACCAAATGTATAGAGGGAACCGCCAAATTCCCCTTTGTCTTAGCATTTTCTCATCGGTTATGTCGATTCTTTTATGTCGCCGAACCCTAATATCTTGAGCACAAAAGAGGTTATCTCCATCCCCGTGACGATTCGCCGGCTTTTAAAAATGTATCACAAGTGCTAAACAGCGCGTATTCAAATCGC